TCTTTAGCAGAAAGGATGTGACATGCAAGACAACAAACATACACTCAGTGCCATCCTCAAAGCATGTCCAAGTACATCCAAACTTGCTCCTCAAACTGGTTTCAGGCTACACTTGTTCTATCCTCTAGACTCTGATGTAGTGCACACTTAATTTAAACATTATATATATATTTCTTTATTTATTTGCTGTGCGTACACAGACCTTTCTCCCTTTTCCCTGCAGAAACATATTAGACATTACAAAAATAATTTGTGGTATAAAAGAATTCTCACACAATGTAGAATTTTTGTTTGTATATGTAACTAAAATATATATATATATTTTTCCAAAAGTAAAAAAGTCAAAATGTCCTTATTTTCCTCTATTATATAGTCTATTTTATTTACAATGTTACCAAACAATATTCTGTATGTAAAAATGATAAAAGTTTGTGGGACACTTTCTGCTCAGCAACTTCTCAAGCGGAGTGTGGCTTGAAGAGGACTGCAACAACAGCACTGTCACACCTTACCACCCAGCACCTTCCCCTGCAATACGAGTTCCTTTCAAACTAAGTGAAACCAGACCTTTCCCCTGCAGAACAGGGCAAGTTCTGACAGTCTGCCTAGACAGCAGCACAAGAGGAATAAAACATGTGTTCTCTGTTTTCTGTGCTGTGATACTAAGAGGGATCAGGATTCCTAATGGCAAGGCCTGACCCAGCCACCCTGGAAATATCCCCCAGCAACGCTGCACTGAGTGGACTGAAGGCTTCTGCTGCTTCCACTGAAACCAATGACTTCAAGTGGGAACAGCAGGGAGTCTGAAGATCCAAGGAAAATGCAGTGGAGTCTACTGGGGGGCACTCACGGACCTTCTCTTCAAAACAAACATACACAAAGATCTTGGCACTTCCATAGATGCAACTATCTAGCACAGGATATTCTATATGAGAATTTCAGCTGAAGAACAGGACAGAATAAAAAACTAGTTTCTTCTGTCTTAAATAGAGATTTCTTAGTGATCAGGACCAGCTAAAATCCTCAATCATCATGAATAAGCCTGGTATTACTTAACTGATGATTAGACTGGTTTATAGCCATCTCTTATAACATTCACATATATTTTAACATGCCATACACAATTTCCACTGCTGCTGTACTAATGCAATTTCATTAGCAAGTTACAGCCCTATCACCTCAAAAAAACCCATCCCAATTTTCATTTTTATGGTTTAAAAATATGAACTCAAACTTCCTCCACCTTGGAAACTAGCCTAGTCAGTGCATAAAGGCAAGGAGAATTTTTACCCAGGATATTCAATGTTAATCTTCACCAAAGAACTGCCATACTAGAGAGAAAGGTCACCAATAAAATTCTAGAGGCAAGTTTTTCAAGAGCTACTTCCTCAAAGTCTGAATGGGAAGTGAAATATAGTGCTTGGGAAACAACATGAGAGGTTTTGTCCCCATTATACTCGAGGGAGTGCTAAGATGAAAAGAGCTGCAGTTGCTTATGACAGCTACACCTATGGATGTGCCCAATTCCTGACTTGGAAAAAGCCTCTGCAGTACTGAACAGAACCAAAATCATGTTGTCAATGAGAATTCAAATGCTAGATTAGCGGTGAGGGAACTACTTGCTTAACACCTCAACTGTTGAAAGACCAATAAGTTAATCAGAGCTCGTCTTAATTAATATAATAAATAAATACCAGTTTAAAAAAACAACTTTAGCCAAACTGGTACAAATTTGGAAATAAGCAAAAAGTTCAGGATTTCCTTCTCTGCTGCGATAGCAAGACACACGTACCTACATACATATAAAACTTGTAACAGAGCACACATGCAATTTGGAAATTCTTTTTAAAATCAGTTTCTGAATCCTGCTGACAAGATGATCTATAAGGAACCATTACACCAGGAAGATGTAATACTTTACAATCAACATTCGGTCAAAGCTTGTACAGTCGTGCAGTTCCCCGCAGTAAGATAAGCTACACGTGAGAATTTTTGTTTATGCATTCTCCAGAGAGAAGATTTCAGAGACTGTCTAATAGGCTATTAAAATCATATGGCACTTTCAATAAATACTTTAAAGCTTCTTAAAGAAATCAGGATAAAAAAGCAACTGCTGTAATAAGCCTGTTTTAGCCATAATACATAATGCTGAAGGAAAAAATCCAGAACAGCAAACAGATATTAACAGTTAAAAGACAGTACAGCTTTTTTTCTTTCTGCAGCAATATGAACTGGCTCCCATTCCTGGAGAAACAGGAGCAAGCCCACCTCAAAACAAGTATTCACTCAATCTTAACTGCTCTACGCTCCACCCCAACCCTTACATCACTTCACTTCTAAAACATAGTCACATTTTCATATAAATCTCAGTGCAGAAATGTATTACACATGAAAAATACTGATCCTGCAAACATTTACAACGACGCTTAACATTAAGTTAGTGCCTAATGTCATGACACCAGAAGAGCTACCTACACCCTTAATGCTAAGCATAGGTATGTTGCAGCATCAGGCCCAAAGATGCCAACCACCACTGGGGACATCAGCTGGGTCAAAATGGTATCGTTCTGTCTGGTTTTGTCAAGGTTTTCTCAACAGAAGCACAGCAAGAAACAGAAATTTCCAAACCTACACACGGAAACACAGTTACATGTGTGTACATACTAATATGCAATATACATTCAGTAACTTGAAAGCATAGGTTAAGACTTTATTCAGATAGACAAATTAAGGCAATTATCTTAATGTCTCTTCAAGATAAAGGACCATGTCCTCATTTGTGACCTCTAGATTTTAAAGCTATACTTTTCAAGAAATATATTTCAATTTTCTCTATATTTTCTCCAATTAGCAGTTTCGTTTGCTTAATAAATTACATCTGTGCAAGGGTGCACATTGATAATTTGGCAGTGGCAAGAAATCCAATTCATTTATATAATACAGACTTTTTACATTTCCATTACAGGGTGATTAGTTTAGGACTGCGTTTTGGCTTAACACAAAGAAAAATTTAGAAGATCTGGCCATCCAATGGATATAACTTTGTCAGTCTAGCAAGACACAGAATTCACGTTGTATTCAAAAGAAAATAAAAAAAAATTAAAAAAGAAAAGAAAAGAAAAAAAGATGTACTGTCCTTTCACTAAAACAGACCAAAAAAAATAACACAGAATGGAAACAGCCTTCACAAATAAGAGTGAATAATGCCCAGGTACCTTATATAGGCAGTTATTCTACAACTGTATACAGTTATTTACAATGGTGCTTTATAAAACAAAACAACAAAAAATGGTAGCACTTCCTAAAAGATTTTGGAACTTTTTTTCTTTTTTTTCTTTTTTTAAAACTCCCTTGTCATAAAAGCCAACTTACATTAAAATATACTTACTACAAGACAACACAACTAACAAAATATATAATAAAACTCATACAAGTAGAAAATTCTGAGGTATTTCTGGTTTGAGGTGGTCTGTGGTCATGAAGTTTTTAAATTTTTTTCAGTTTAAACCTCGGAAGCCACGTAATGTGTGTGTGTGTTTTGTGGTTTTTTTTCTTTTTTTTTTAAGTTTTTTTTTTTTTAAACATTGCATGTTTTGCAAATTAAAAAAATATTTCAATGTTGAATCAGCAGCATTAGGAACATTCACTGACTAGAGCGAGTTTATGGCATAATAAGAGTAACGGTATTTTAGAATATGCACCACTTTAAGACAAAAGAGTTTTGTCACAGAGTAAGGAGAAAGCAGCATCAAAGAAACCAGTTGGAGAGATGCTGTGGGAATCACTGCTGCTGCTGTGTGGCCTCCACTCCCTGCAGCTGGGCAGCTTGTTGGCTTCTCGGATGCTACAGGAGCCATCTGCCACTGGTTCAGGTATTTTCACACCCCCAACCCCAAATTAATATGGAAAAAAAATATATACCCAGTTTTCACCCTTTTCCTCTTTCCACCATCTGCACCAGGAAGCTCGGGCTGACGGATGATCAACCCAAGGCCAAATTTCCTCAACTGACTCACACTTAAAGCAAGATGCAAAGATCTTCCCATCTTCCAGTATTTTACCAAAGTGCTTCTAAAAGCACACTTTCCCAGCTCTCCTGATTACACTGCTTAAAAGCATCCTTCCCACTACTACTTGGAGTTGAAAATAAAAGGTAATTACAGTTCTGCTTTGTTCTTTTACCACCCAAGCCTGAGATTCTGGAGGAAGAAAGAACTAGTACCTCACTTCCAACCACTGGCTCTTTAACGCCGCTTTCTCCATACACTGCAGTCGTTAATACTCTGTCCAGAAATGTCCTTCCCCTCCTCTAATGGTTACCTGAGAAGTAGCTCCATAGCAAATGATGTTTCCCCAAGTGCTGCCAAGTCCAACGTCACTCTCCCCACCCCTATTCTATGCTCCCCCCTTCAATTCTACCATCAAGAATCAACATTCTCCGCCCAGTTACTTTTTTTTCCATGTTACAATGACACCCGTTAGATCCGTAAAAGACACATCTGCTGTTTTTTTTGAAGCTCACTTCCAAAAAAAATAAAAATTAAAAGGAACTGAACCCAAAACCAAAACAAAATGGGGAAAAAAATCCTTTTGAGGAAGGTGTATTCTTTAGATAACAGTCTTAAGTTTCCTCCACAGTTTGCAGCATTGCGTTTTTGGAGATGGTAGGTGGTTTTCCTTTATGTCACAGATGCTCCGCTCAGAAGACAGACTGATAAAGAGAAACCCAGAAAACTGAATAAAATAAAAACAACTGAAGTGAGTTTGTTGAGGTTCTGAGGTACCTGCACCTTTTCTGCATTCATTAGTCGGCACCTGAATGCTTGCTGAAATGTCCATTTTTCTTAATACAGTAGAGCAATGTGCTGGTAAAATTGATCCAATCCAAAAAAAATATAATAATAATAATAATAACAATAATAATAAAAAGTCAAGATAAAATAGCAGCTGCATTCATGTGTTTGTTGGATTTTTGTGTTTTTGTTTTTTTGTGTGGGGTATTTTTTTTTAAAACTTTTTTCTCGGTTTTTTTTTCTGTTGGGTTTTTTTTTTTTTAAATCCACTGAGTCTGGAAAGACAAAAGTGAACCAGGACTTAGATACTAGACTCTTTGGGTGGCAAGTCCACGTTGGTGACGGATGTCACGATGGAGACGAGGCAGTCCGAGGTAGTGCCGTTTACGGATTTGCGGATCTGCGCGATGCGCTCCTCGACACAGCCTGCCGAGAGCCGAGCCTCCGCGTCGTGGTCCCAGCACTCTTCAATGGTCACACACAGCTGCGCCAAGCCCTGCAGACAAGGGAGAGAAAGCACCTTCAGCAACATTATCTCCTCTGTCTCCTCACCTTTGCAGAGGACAGGGAGGTGCATTTAACACAGCTTCAAGCTATGAAGAAAACCTAACAGTATTTTCTCCATGGGACGCCAATTACCATGAGGTAAGTGTTAAAAATTACTTTATATGTGTGTTCTCAGATTTTTTTAAGCTTCTTCTTTCTAAGGCTGTAAGGCTTGGTCACATCCAGCCCAAAAGTACTTTTTTAAATATCAAAATACATCCCGAGATTCAGCAGTTAGAGCTTTAAAAGACAACCAGTATTATGATTCCCATGATAACACCGTGAGAAGCTGGCAGCACTGTATCAGTTACTAAGAAATCATTGCTTTGTTTGCAATCACTTCTCTTGATATCTCCAAAATAACCAAATTCAACAGTGCTAAAAGAGTGTCGCTCTTGTTCGAAACGTCATTTGAAGTGGAACACTCATCTTTTCCTACAGCCTGCAGCTCTCCTTGACTTCTAGGCAATGAGTTAGTACACCCGAGTCTGGCCAAACCTGTGGCAGTTTGGTCAGAATAGAGGTATTTGGCTTGTTATCGAAGCCCTGAGAGATGTCATCATCTGCTCAGTTTCCCAATCTGTGAAAACTCAGCTCTTATATTAAGAACATGAGACTGAAATGACCTACCTCTGGGAACCCCACGCTGTGTTTTGCTTCACTGTCTGCTTGCCTTCACATCTAATTAAGTTTTCCTCAAAAAACTGCTATCTAGTTTGTGAGGAATGTGTCTCCAATGGTATGGATTGTTTCTTTTTTCTTAATGAAAGGACTTTGTTTTCCGTTCTTTCACAGTATTAAAGGACTCCTACTAAACCACCACATGCTCCACATTCAGCACTGGCTGATTAATCAGCTGATTTACTCTCTAAATACCAGGGGCAAACAGAAAGAGGAGCACAAAGGTGTTGAGTAACCCCTCATTCCTCAGCACTAACTCTCTCTGACACTGGGAATGCATAATCACATCCCTCATTCCCATCACACAAGAAAATATTTTCCACCATGAACCAGGAGGGACATACGGGATGTTTTAGCCAGTGATCCTTGAACACGGGGCGCATCTTCTTGTGAACCACCACTTCTTGCAGGTCCTCAAGGGATGGGTGCTGACCTATTTCTTCTTCGAAAGGCAGCATGTATTCATCCACGGGACCTAAGGTGCACAGAGAATGGGGTTAGTATAGAAATGACCTCTGCAGAGCCATGTTCTCCCATGCATGAGTGAGCTGCAGCTCCAGAGCAACTTCAACCCACTGCAACAAAGCCTGACGTTCACATGTCACTGCAGACAAATGTGATTTACATTCCTCCTGCACAATGGTCTTTGCTGTCCCTGCTGCTTGTCTGGCCATGCATTTTCCATCTCATCGAGTTACGAATCTGAACCCTCAGCTGAGTCTCCTGATCTCACTGCTCTCCTTGAGGAAACTTGCTGCATAGTCCATGATTTATTTTAAGAGAAAGAGCAAATCAGTCCATCCTCCTCACATTTGAGCATACCAATTCAACGCACAATAACCTAAAGAAAAGTTTCAGCATGAGCATAATTTCATTTTAGCACTGACTAGCAAGGTCAAGCATATACAACACTTAAAATTTCTTGCTTTGTGATCTGGCTTATTCATAGGTTTGAGTCAGCCCTGACACACTGGAGCCAGACACACTTGTCCCAAGTACCAGCTCCTAAGTGTAAAATGATTTCTGAATGCTTTTAGTTATACCAGTTATGGCTGTGAACTGCCCTGGGCCACTGGAATGAGACAACTGTTATGAGTATCAGTGCAGATGCTGGATGGTAGCAATAACTTCTGCTTACTGAAACATCATTTGGCTTTTGGCAACGCATAGATGCTTTCTCAGAAACTGCAGCCCAGCTTAACTGATGGGTTTTCCCAGGGTGCTCCATGGCATCACTTACAGTTTCCTGGTAGCAAAAAGTGACCTCTTTTCAGAGTAGAGATATTTCAAGAGAGTCTTTCCAGACTGAAATAAAAGAGCAGACCACTTCATCTGGTCATGAACTGTGACACCAACAACATGATGTTTAGGCACTCTAAACAATGACATCACTAAACTATCTTAATCATTATTCTTGTTGACTCAATGCCAGTCACTAAACCAAACTGACACACTCGCTCCAACAGATGGCACAATATCAGTCACTACTTTCTGTTCTCTGGCTCCAAGAGGAATCCAAGCTATGAAGTGCTGCACTGGTGATCTCCAAGCCAAATCTGCTGTTTAGACAACACTTCTGAGCTAGAAGTGCAGGTGAGGTTCAGTGTAACTCACTGTCACCCCAAAGGAAGCCTTGCCTCTGATATAACAGTGCTGTGTGTGGCACCTGAAGTATTTTGGCCAGCCTGAGAAGAATTGACAGGAGATCACAAACATGACAGGAAAAATAAAAGTGGATATTTGGGGCACCTGAACGAGAAGGGTAATTCCTACATGACTGATCTGTATTTCACCCTTACTGTGCTCCTAAACTCCCACCTCCTCCAACATTTTACCTGGCTAGACTGTACAATTTTGAAGAAGAAACCTTCTCTTACCACACACCTATGCAGACATCCTAATTACAATCAAACTCCTCAGCCCTACTGCAAAGCTAACACAAACATTTGAAGTCCAGGTGAGGTGCTGTTGTTTTATGAACTTGATATTCAGTCCATAGTGCCCATATCTATACAAGAAGAAAAAAGCTGAAGGAAGCAGCCTTGGAGTTATTACAATGACATGACTGCTTCCCTGTCCAGGGCAGAGGTCCTGCACACAGTGAGGGTGTCACCAAAGGGCAGATGTGCTAATTAGACAGAAAAGATGCCCCATTTTAGGATAAAAAAAAAACTGAGAAAGGAGACACCATAGAACTTCATTTTTTCAGATCCTTCAGAAGAAAAGCGAGATCCTCCAAAGCTGTAGATGGAACAACAAATTCAGCCCACTGCTAATCAGCAAAAATCAAAGATCAGTAACTAATGAATTATAATAGCAGGGAAATGCCCCAAAAAGATCCTTCCAGCCCCGTGCTCCTGTGATTTCACTAAAGTGCTTCACTTCTGGGCTTTCCATTCAGGCTACCACACTAGCCTGCAGAAGCAAGGTGTCACAGCCAAGCCACAGCCAAGTGTGGCTCTTCTCCAGAGCTCAAAGCCTGCCTTGGTCACAGGCAAGAATGCAGAGTGCCATGGAAAACAGCATAGAGCAGACTGTACTAAGGCTGTACTGAAGGACACCCATCCTGGAGGAATCACCTGCTCCTTCTCCATAGTAAAAAGCACTTTGAGACTTAAACACTACAAAAAGTTATTATCTACAGAGAATGACAGTTTATGTTAAAAAGCAAACAAAAACCAGGTTAGCTGATTAATAAAAATATGCCATTGATTTTTAATTATTTTTTTTTAAAACAGAGATAGATACATTCTCTGGACCACTAAGCTACACTGACACCAAGCCCTCCCCAGGGAAGAGAGGATCTTTATCCTTACCATCAACTGCTCTACATCTGGAGACTAGCTCCCACAACACCAGTCCCATTGCATACATGTCTATTCTCAGGAAGGCGTCTCGTTGGAAGTTGATTGCTCCCTCTAACACTTCAGGAGCCATATACCTCCTTGTTCCCACCTACAGAGGAAAAAACACAACTCAAGTTACATTCCAGTTGGGCCCATCAGTCTCCACTGGTTGGAGATGAGTGACAGCTGGTTTCATTAGCCTTAAGGCTACTGCTACTAAAGGTGCACCTTGCTCAAAAAACAAGCAAAGGGGACATCTTTCTTCTGACACAAATTCTCATTAAGATCACATGAAGTAAAAAGCCAAAGTTCATGGCTATGTGTGTGATATTCATTCAGTCTATGCTACAGGTCTAATTTAAACTCAGCATGGTATGGTGAGTATGGATGAAACCTTGTATTCCTGCATCCCAACTGCATGTTGCTCCAACAGCACATGCTGCATAAGAAAATGCTGGTTTTGGAGACACAGAAAACACCCTGAGGTCAAGTCAGACTTGGTTATCCAAGTCATTTAAAGTTCAATACTCTTTCACTCAAAAAGAGGAGATAAGTATATCCAAAGAAAAAGAGAAGAGAAAAATTGATACGTCCTGAAATGGCAGGAAAAGGTGTTGGTTTGACAGCCACGGGTAAAACAAGTCTCCTGAATCCAAAGAAGTAGTAAAACATGAACCCTGCAAAGTCTACCCTGCTCTGGCTTGCCATGATTTGGAAAAGTTCTCTGCTTTCAGGGGATTCAGTCCTTGTTATAGTGCCTACTTTGCTGTTTTCAGTTTAGCCCATAATGTGGGAGAGTACAGAGGACAGCAAGGAAAAATCACCTTTTAAAACATGGGGATTGAAACACCTTTAATATTTTCCTTTAAGGAAATTCTCATCTGTTCTTGCTGTTACCCTAGGCAGTGGGGACAGAGGGAAGTCAGGATGTAGAAAGGCATGCAAAAAAAAGGTGACAAAATGAAGAACGCTGGGGAAGGCTAACCCAGAGAAGTGTTCATTCCTTCTGAGATAAAGGTAAAAAAGGGACACCACACTGGAGATGGAAATTCAGAAAACCCCAGAGGCACAAGGAGGGAATGATGGCCTTGCTGTGCCCTGGCATGAGAACAGAATCAGGGGCTGCTTGCTGCAACACACAGGCAGAAAATTAAGAACCCATAAAAACGTAGTAAATTGTTTATGCAGCACACAGCCAGCTCACAAGATCTGCCATTGCCAAAGGTCAGCCAAGCAGTCAGCCTGGCTGAATTCTTAAATTTAAATTAATAATTTTAGGAGGACTAATATTTCTATTGTTACATTAGCATCAATATTTAGGAGTATTAATATTTTTGTTATGATCTAGAGAAGTGGTCTGTGTGATGGGTGGGAACTGGCTAACAGGTCACACCCAGAGCAGGGTGGCAAATAGCTCCTTCTCAAACTGGCAACCTGTCACAAGTGGGGTCCCCCAGGGATCCACATTGGGCCCAGTGATGTTTAGTATCTTCCTAAGTGATGTGGATGATGGGATCACATCTATCTTGATCAAGTTTGCTGATGATACCAAACTGAGTCGGAAAGTGGACACTTTGGAAGGGACAGCCACCTTGCAGGAAGACCTGGATAGGCTGGAAGAGTGGGCTAACAAGAATCTTAAGGACTCCCACAAGGACAAGAGTAAGGTCTTGCACCTGGAAAAACATAATCAAGGAGTGTGACACAGACTAGGATCTACCTGGCTGGGGAGCAGCTCTGTGGAAAGGGCCCTGCAGGTCATGGTGGACAATGAGCTCAATCTGAGCCAACAGTGAGCTGCTGTGGCAGAGCCAACAGGAGCAGCTCTGAGGGCCCTGCAGGTCATGGTGGACAATGAGCTCAATCTGAGCCAACAGTGAGCTGCTGTGGCAGAGCCAACAGGATGCTGGGCTGCACCAATGAGGGCATCACCAGCAGAGACAAAAGTCATTATCCTACTCTACTCAGCACTTGGCAGGCCATGTCTGGAATATTCTGTCAATTTTGATCTCCACTATGCAGAAAAAGATGAGGACAGGCTGGAGAGGCCACAGACATAATCAAAGGGCTGGGAAGGTACCATATGAAGAAAGGCTGAGAGAATTGGGTTTGCTAAGCCTTGAGAAAAGAAGCCTAGGGGAGACCTTATCACAGGGTTTCAGTATTTAAAGGGTAGCTACAAAGAAAACAGACACTCCCTCACTCCCTTTCTACAAGGAGTTACATGGAGAAGAGGAGGGGCAATGGGTTCAAGTTACTCCTCAGAGATTCCAGCCCGACATAAGTGGGAACTTTTTTGCAATGAGAACAGTCATCTGTTGGAATAATGACCCCAGGAAAGTGGTGGATCCTCCAACACTGGACACTTTTAAGATGCAGCCGGATAAGGCACTGGGCCATCTTGCTTAGACTGTGCTTTTGCCAAGAAAGGTTGGACCAGATTACCTTTGAGGTCCCTTCCAACATGGTATTCTGTGATTCTATGACTATGAATATTTATTACCGAGACAATAAAGAGTCAACAAGTTCTGTGCCCGAAGGAGGAAGCCACCTCTCCAGGGCTGGGAGGACCTCACATGCACAGTGGTCAGGTTTGAGCACTCTCCCCATGCACCCAGATGAAGCCAGCTCCCGGAATTTATGCCTGAGCACAAGTTTTTATGAAAAAATACATATCTCAAAAAGAACTAAATGCAATTTACCCCTGACTCCCACGCAGCTATAGCAAGTCCAACTTTTTAAAATGTTAAAGATAATGATTACCTGTCCATGAGTGTCCCCTGGAGGTTTTCCAGGTTCAAACCGTACAGCCAGTCCAAAATCAGCTAGCACTGCTGTCAAGTCGTTCTTCAGCAAGACATTTTTACTCTTGAAGTCCCTAGGGACAAGCCAAGAAGTAACTTTGAGAAGGGTTTATTATGGCACACACCTAAATCACATTGCAACACAATACGCTGTATGTCTATAGGCTTAACAGGTCCCAGTAAATCAGCTCCTTCCTTCCTTCCCCAGCTTTCCAGCATGGCCAGTGCTGACAAATTTGGCTGCTCCTCACTGCCCTTGTCCCTAAAACACAACTAAGCAGCCCTGAGCTTCCCAGCACAGTCAGCTGAACTCTGTACTGAATTAACCTCAAAGTCTGACCTGAAAGAGCTATTTTAGCTAGAGCAGGCAGTGCCATTCCTTGCTCCGAGCACCAGCTGTGGACCTCCACCTCTGGGCACTTCTCATTCCCAACAATGAAACCAAGACAGGCTAACAGAGTACATTACTCTTTATCCCAGTAAGGATGTTTGCTCCTGTCTACAAAACCAGATCTTTCTGGAAGTCAGCAGTTGCTGGTGGGACTCTCTCCACCCTGAGGACATGTTTCAACAAATTTTTGCCATAGTCATCTCTTAGCCTTCTGTTTTAATTGCTGGATCAATCTTCCCTGGAAAATTCAGACTGTTGGAAAGCAAGCAGGGAAGAGGGTGAGCCCACGTTCAGACATAGTCAGGATGAGACTGGGCAGCTGATGGGCAGGTGTAAGCAGTTGCAGTAGAGATGGAGGGTCTGTGCTTGAAGGTGGCTTTAAGGGGACATCTGTGTCACTCCTGTGCTGCAGTGGGATCATTTCAGGGCAGCTCAGGTAGATCTGCAGGGGCTGGAAAGGGCGGGGGGTGGAGGAGGATCACACTGAGATGCCTAACCAGTCGAATCCTGTTCCCTGGGCTTCCTGCATTTTCATCTGAAAAGGAATGTTTGGCAATCTAATTAAATTACAGACCTTAGACAGCAGATGGCAATTGTCCTGTATGCTCAGCATTATAATTTCCCTATCATCAATTCACTCGGTGACCCTGCTGATTGCAGGACACTGCAGGCCTGCACAAAATAATTAATGAGGGCAGATACGATTGTTCTGCACTAGAGAGACCTGTCAAAATTCTTTGTGAAGAGAGAAACTGCTGGACCATAGAGAAGGGCTGCTTGCTGCAACCTCAGATGCCAGAGCATCAGCTCAAAGCACCAGGAGCAAAAATCATCCTGTGCCACCCAGCCCCTGATTCTGAGAAGGATCAGAAGAGAGGATTTATCCTTTCTAAGCTAAACACAGCGTGATGGGCGTTTCTGGCTCGAGGATTAAGATGGGGGAAGTGTGTGTGAAGTTGGAGAGCATCATACAGCCAGCAAACCCCAGCAGAAACCAGCCTCCATCACCTCAAGGGTACACATGGTGTTTCTAGGGACACAGCACAGCTTTGCAGGGCCTCCAAAACATTGGTACCCCTTCATTACACAGAAAACCAGCATTTACCTAATACCTGTCATCTCAGAGACTGCCTGCTTCCAGGCTATAGCAGTTTGCCCACAGGCTTAGAAAACAGCCATCATCTAGTGACATGGATAAACTCCTTTGCTCGCTCAGCATTAGGGGATTATGCCCTCAGGATGGTACAGATTGTGCATGAGATTTTTGCAAAACAGTGGCTCAACAGGACCACGCAGAAATTATCAGACACTCTGCCTGAATGATACAGTTTGACATGAAGTGAGAGGTAAATCACTATTATTGTACAGGCATGTGCTGCTGTTGCTCACCTGCACTGCCCTTTTGGCATGCAACAGTTAACTCCTACATCTTGATACCTGATGCAGGGATTTCCCTTTTCATTTCTTTTTTTTCCCCCTATTTCCATACAGTCCCTCATTTTCCCATGTTTTCCTCCCTTCCTTTCCTTCAGCAAACCACCTTGAACTGGCAAGTGTGAGCTGCAATGCAAATGTATCCAGACCAGAGAGAAGGACCTGATCCAAGCCATGTCAAGTAGAATTGCCACTAGCATCATATGCACTAGACCATCCTAAAATGGTCACTGATAAAGGAAAAATGGCCTGTAAAGAAGAAAATATCTTTTTTTTCCATGCAACATTTCAAACTAGGGAATAGAGAACGAATGGACTATGAATAACGTCTGCATTAACTCGATTTAGACACTGGAGATTTTATTTTCAGCTTCCACGTGGGGGCACTTTCGCACCAACAAGCGTCTCCATAACCTTAATCCTCCTTCTAGCACCGGGGGCTAGTGAGGAGTTGGCTGAACTCCTGCCCAGCAGTGACTGGGGAGTTCCACCTGGCAATCCCAGCATCTTAGTGTGCACTGTGGGAAGCCACTCAAAAACACTCCACTCACGCCCCTCCCCAGATTTAAAATGCATTTAATGTTTTCTCTTAAAAATAAAATTAAAAGGAGTGGGGTAATCCAAGGGAAATCCCCTGTGTACTGAAATCCCTCTTCCGTAGGTATGTGCTAAATTCACACAAATGCTGCATTCTCCAGCTTTTATCATTTGCTAAATGGACAGGGACACTAATGAGCATGATCTGTTGCTTTAAAGCCTTTCTATAGCCTTCCTCTGTTCCCCACCCTCAGGAATTTTCATCTATAAACCACTGCCTTTATTCCACAGGGACAAATGTCAGGGACACAGGGGTCAGCTCCAGGAGCAGCACAAAGGCAGCTGCAGGCTCTTTCAACAGACCCCAGCTCTCCGAAACCTTCAGGTCTGGGGAGGTGGGACATTTGGGGGCAGGGACACCCTTGGAAAAACAGGGATTATCTTGCTGTACATGAAGCCAACCCTGCTAGATCGGGTACAAATTGCTGCAGCTGGACATGGGGTTTAAGTCCCTCCTAGATGAAATGCAGTGGGTGGTGGGGGAGTATGGCTGCGGATTACAGCCCACAGCCTGCACAAATCCCTTCTGGAAATCTCCCCCATCCTGCTGTGCCACTAGCAAACCACTCAGTAGAGATGCTTTAGTCCAGGGCAAGCAATGTGGGACTTATGAGAAGGGCTAAAGCAATGAGGATGGTTTAACCCACTGCTTTCTGGATTCCCACTGTCCCCATGGTGCTGCCACCTGGGTGGGTTTCTGAAGCATGTGCCAAGAGGTCTCAGAGGCACAGTGGTGCCTGCTGTGATGTCTCTCATAAGCCCCCTAAGACAATTCGGGCCCTATAAAACTACAATGAAAAATAAATAGCAGCCATTTTCTGCATTTCCAGTTTCTCCATTTCTTACCTAATGATCAAAAGCTCTGTGGGAAAACATACAGTGTCAGTCTAAAACAGGGATAAATAGGGTTCAAATCCTGGTACGGCCACAGAAATACACAGATTATAATGTGATGGTATTACCAAGCACACTCCTTTCACAGAGCAGTTCTGCAGCCACCAGTATTCCCTTCCCACTACATGACAAAAGAACATTTGATGGAAGAGGGAAGCACATATACCCTTCAGACATTTGCCATCAACCACTACCAAACATACTATTTCATGGACAAGACACTTACTTGCCCTTCATCATTTTACATGTGGTTGAAAAAAATTCTTAGCATGGGATTTGTTAGGTTAATAGGTATTTGCTTCCTAAAAGCACAACGTCCTCCTCTATTCAACAGCATAATTTTAAAGACATTGCAACATTTGCATGCAGCATCTGAATGGTGTCAATGAAAGAGGCTGTACCTGTGTGCTATAGCAGGTTTGTGACCTTCACCTTTGCACCAAGGGACATCTTCATGAAGGTAGGACAAGCCACGAGCCATTGTTTCTGCAACATGGCAGAGCTCATTCCAGCTGATAATATTGCCCTTCAGGTAATCCGTCAGAGACCCCTGCAGAACAGGACATTGTCAGTTCTTAATTGCAGACCCTGCTATGTGACACATGTACCAACTCATCAGTGTAGACACTCATTTAGAGAGCACTTGAGAAATCTGAATCTTGATTTAACAGGGAGAAAAACTCACTAGTGAAAGAAGAAGAATCACTAGTGAAAAAAAAAGAAGAAATAAAAATCAGAGGAATTAATGAGTTTTCAGCCCTTGATAGCACAGAAAATATCCTGATGTCTACTAATCTGCCAGGAAAAGGGAGGGTGGTAAGGAAGGGACAAAAGCATCTTAAACCAGACCAATTCATCTAAGCTAAGAAAGGGGAAAGCCTTCCTTGCAAGACAATGATGCATGGTGTCAGCTGGTTGTGGCAATGATTGACTCAGTAGACCTTGGATTTAACAGAGGGATAACACTGCTGGCTCAACCCCGGATTTGCACGTTTGTTTTATTTTAAGCAGTAGTCGTATTTCATAACTAAAGCAATTTATAACATGAGAGATGTGCCCCAAGCACTCAAAAGCAAACATGGAGCCCATCTGCAAGGGGCAAGTTGGGTCTGCAAAAGTGTGTGACACCTGGCTCTCACGTGCTCATCTGTGCATGGTAAGAGATGGCAACCACCACATATGGGAGCTGTGGCCTTTTGTGCCTCTCTCTCTCCATGTCCCACCTTTATTAACCCTATGTTTCTGTAGGAAAGCCTTGAAAGGTAAAGGAAGGGCCTGTGAAGGAGGGGAGCAGGAGCACTTTGCTACCACCAAGTCATGGCCCTCTAGGAACAGAGTGGATAGCTTACAGGGGAGCTCCTGAGTGAATATTAGGCACCAAATCCTGCTGTTTCACAACCAGCTGCTTCTCTGCCTTCCCAAAATATATGTGCAATGATACATTACCTTGTCGTGGAAAGCTGTGATCAGCCAGAGCTCTGTCTCCAGGTTTGTCCCTCTTTTCTCTGCTGCAATAAATTGCAAAAGGTTTTCATGCTTCATGCCAGGAGTGTTGAAAATCTCCCTCTCACTCTGCCAAGACTGTTTATCCTAAAGCAGGGAGAAATACACCATCAAAGATCACATTTCCCTTTAAAGCAAACAGCTCCTTCAGTTCAGTCAGAGTTGCTCACAGTCCTCTTAATACCATCCTCCCGTGTTCGGATCTGATGCATCCCTTCAAAATGGGGCTGTTTCCCTAAAGGGTAGATGCTGGAGAAAGACTGGAAGTTGCTGTTCTCAGCCTCCCCTCTCCAAAATTATCCAAAGCTATTCCTAAAGCACGTGTGGGGAGGGAGGAGGAATCATCCTCACTGAGAAATAAGATTTGTCAAGATTTCTTAAGGATGCTCATAAGAAAGAATAAAGCCTGTGCATACAGCACCCGGATCTCTCTTGTAGCTGTAATTGTTACAATTGCAAAATCTAATCTAGGCTCTATTGAATATTTACTAGCAGGTCACAGCTGGCTTGGACAGAAGATGTACAAATCTCTTTTAGCAATGCTATGACAACAAATACAGAGTGAAAAAGTAGCGAAGAAGGAGATGGTGGTGGAGCACAAAGATGTTTTAGTCATTCTTCTTCCATTTGACTTTTGATTGCTTTACTCTTTTCATCTGCAATTCCTAGAGAGTCAAGTCAGGAGTGTTCAAAGGTTTCCTAGAGTGGAAGACGTGATCTGACAGAAATGCTGCAATGCAATTAGCTTTCACAGTGCTGGGGATCTGCCTTTGGAAGCTATAAAATGTTTGCTAGGTTTGGGTCTGGATTTACAATCTACCCAGGCAGGACACACAAAGCCAGGGCTCTGGCCCTTTGTGTGCACTCTGGGCACTGCAGCTGCACACTGCCTTGCTGGACTTGAACAACACAGACATTTGCAGCAAAGTTAAAATACCCTGCAGACTTCAGAATGTGCTTGTTTTTGCCCTTCTTGCAACAAGTACTACTACAGGAAGCATTTGGTAATGAGATAACACAGGGAGAAGTGTAGCAAGGAAGGGTGCTTGAACTTTTTCCCTCAGCAGAAGAGCCCAAATGCATCTTTGTTACGGTCTTAAAAACCATAATCTCCATAGGCACTTAGAGCATCTCAGCACTGGTGAGGAAGCCTGGCAAGTGAGAGCCTAATGCACTGCCCTTCTCACCTGAATAGGGAAGATTTTCACTGCTACGTAGTCGTTCATCAGCTGAGCCTTCCACACGCAGCCGAAGCGTCCCCTTGCCTTGATCTCTAAAAGCTGCAGAGGCTTTAGGCCAACCAGGGGAGAAGGGGGTGGTGGGCCAGGGTCCTGCACGAGAGAAAAACACTGTCACCAGCTGAAGCTGGACTGTAACACAAAGGCAGGGGAGGAATGGGGAGATTGCATATGGGGAAAGAGGCATGAAGAAGTGTCATTTTATTTTAATCAAATTATTTAGATGTACTATTTGTGGCAAGAACAGCCCAAAATTCCCTATCTTGCTCTGTAGGGTATTTGTATAGAACACATATAACAATCTACACCTCCAAGTGTCACTTTGTGTGCTGAACTACTGCCTGCCATGCTCTGGCAAAACCTGAATTCTTCTCTGTTTTCAATGCAAGAGCTATTTTGGGCTGTAAAACACCAATGACATCAAGGCTACCTCCTGCTAAAAGTAAGAACCTTTTGATCTTTGTGACCCAACAGCCAACTACACCTTAAACTCCTACTGCTTTGCACTTCATTAGACATGTTCCACATAACCCCAGCAATGGGCAGTAAACAGGTCTGTCAGCATCATAAAGATCCTATCTGTTTAAACTCTGCATTTGTCCAGGAGAACAACGTAACCCCACAGGATGTGGGGGGTTGGAGCTCTGTCCTACCTGCTTTCAGATGGGAAAGGTTCACAGTATGGGCTGTAATGGGCAGAGGAGGGAGAGAGAGACAGCTGCTTGAGCCTTCAGAAGAAACCAGAAGGTTCAGGGCACAGCAAAGCCAGCAAGGACCAGTTCCTGATGGCTTTGGGCCATGAAGATGACCTCCTGCATTCATTCTCTGAGGGCTTAAAGATTGAGCTTCATCAAGGACAGTACCTGTCCTTATCCCATAAAGCTGGTAGGAACTTTATCATCTCTGCTTCTCTACAAAGCTGGCTCAAAATCATGCAATGGGTTTGTGAGTTTGAGAAGGGTTGCCACCACGTAGGGCTGTGTAGCTCCATCTCTTAGGAATCTCAGACATAGTGATAACCCCATCTAAACCCAGTCTCACAGGGGATGCTAACATCACCATAGAGGCCAACTGTACCACCAACTTCAAAAAAAGAGAAAAGTTAGGCCACCTGAAAAGAGTGAAGCAAAGGTGGATGTGAATATACACTGAGCAGCCTCCATGCCTTCTGTAAGGCCCAAATAAAGGAGACTCCCTTACCTCATTGATGTCCACATGCCCATAGGGAGGCTTCCGATGCCGGTACATCCAGAAGGCCAAGAGGATGGCCATGGAGAGGACTGCAATGGGGAGCAGAGAGTACACCAGGATGTTGAGCAGGGAGGGCGTTGGCGGCGGCGGCTCGTATATGACTGTGAGAGAAGAGCAGGGTAAACAAGGGAAAGGACCCTTCAGGCACACAACAGCACTGCCAGCCACGTGTCCAGATGCAACCAAACCCCATCCATCCCTCTACTCCAAAGCTAACAATCCTTACTGGCATGTCCCATACACCCAACAGTATCCATAAGGCTCTATGGTTTTCTCTTCTCCATATAGCTGTTAGTCATGGAGTTACAGTGGCCCAAACCATACTTTGCAAGCCAAGCCTCGATCTGACCTTTATTTAAGGTAGGTATTTCTTGCTGGGATACAAAAAAGCAGAACATTTCCTCCTCTTAACCCTTCCAAATGTATTAAGAGAGCATGAAATCCCTTGCAGCATTGCTTTGCCTTTTACAATGATTGACAAGTTGTCAGTTTTTAGTAAAATGCTGCCGGAGCCACAATCAAATGCACTATTCCCACAGTAGTTCTTGTTCCAAATTACATCAGTGCAGTTGAGACACAAACAATGGGAATACTAAATGGAGCCATGTTGCTATGTTGGAGACAGGGAAGGAAAAAATAGCAAGACTTGCCAAATTAAACAAAAAACTGTGAGAGAAAGAATATCTGCTACTAGGTTGCTACGGGTACATTAATAACAGGAGATAATAAAACCCATGTAAACAATTAAAAACCTAACAGGAAAGCCCAGGAAAATCTGATAAAGTCTATTGGAACATCTCGGTAAATGCAGGTAGTTCATAGCTGAAGAAACCATCCTAAGGAAAAGATTCACCCACTTTAATAGTTTTTATTGAATGATACTTTAGAAAGTATACAGCTAAAAGAATCATCATTTTTCTATTAGCCTCTGAAGAAGGTCCAGCTACTACTTTTCTTCCTTGATGTATATCCACAGATCCTGAAAACTGACACAAACACACCCCCATTCCCTTTCAATCCTCAGACCAGCAAAATAGAATGAAATGCAAAAATCCCAGATGCACAAGGTATCTGGAGACCTGCAACCTATGAAAATTAATGTAGAAGGTGTCAAATACCTTTTAAGCGTTTGAGGCTTGATCCATGCTATATAAACCACTCTGCCCTTTTCCCCTTGTGAGGGATTTTGTTTTGTAATATCCCACTGTGAACTGTTCACCATAATGCAAATCCAAGCCTTACTGATGGCATCCAGAGTGTTGGTACAACACACTTTACCCACAGAGTGAAACAACCTTAAAGAACTACCCTTAACGAGCTGCAGCAGAAGGATTTCTGGACTTTGTAACCAAGACATCCAACAGCCAACAGCTCAAAGTCATCATGAAGCTGAGTCAGGGGAGGTTTTGGTTAAGTATTAGGAAAAGGTTCTTCATCCAGAGGGTGGTTGGGCACTAGAACAGCTCCCCAGGGTCACGGCCCCAAACCTGACAGAGCTCAAGCAGCATTTGGGCAACACTCTCAGGCACATGGTAGGATTTCTGGGGGTGTCCTGTGCAGAGCCAGCAACTGGACTGGATGATTCTTGCAGGCTCCTTCCAGCTCAGGACATTCTATGATTCTATGAAAGTCATCAGAAACTGCATCTAGAGGAAAAGACCCCAACTCCACGCCCTCCCAGTCACTCACCTTCTGGACCGGTGACTTCAGGCAAATGGGTAAATTTCTCATTGCAATAGTTGCCCTCGCAGCAGCAGAAAAACACTTGAGGGTTTTCTTCTGTGGCTACACACTCCTGCCTGCACAGGGAGGGACACACATGGTAATGACAGGAAGAGAAAAACAATGTCAGCTGACTCTTGCCCCCTGTGTTTGGGAGCCGACCCACCCCAAACTGTCTTCTCCACACACCTTCTCCTGCAGCTGAGCTGCACAGATCAGCAGTCTCCACTTACAGAAAACAACTTGGCACTCAAATACCCCAGTGGATAGCAAAGACCCTTGAAAAGACAGTAAAGGAAACAAATGCTTCCATATGTACTGCGGGCATTAGATGGTGAGTAATAAATAACAGCCGCTGCCTCTAACGGAATGAGAAGGAGAAAAACGACGGAGGGATGCCTTGGTCCCTGAACAGTGACTCTCCCACAGCCCATATGTATGCTGTCAGGGGAGAGAAGTATTTGATCATGCAATTAAAGACTGTGCCATAAAGCACATATGATGAGGGCTGAGCTAAGACTGCTCTCAGAGCCTTGAGCATCACTTACTCTACGTACTCAAAGGGCACCAGACACCAGCAGCGACAGTCCTGCTGTAGGCAGGAGGAAGGCTGCAGGTTCAAGGGCATGTAGTGATGGGACAAGGGAGAATGTCTTTAAACTGACAGAGGGCAGGTTTAGACTAGACACCAGGAAAAAATTCTTTCCTATGTGGGTGGTGAGGCACTGGCACCAGTTGCTCAGAGAAGCTGTGCATGCCCCATCCCTGAGGTGCTCAAGGCCAGACTGGATGGGGCTTTAAGCAATCTGGTCTAGTGGAAAGGTGTCCCTGCCCATGGCAGGGGGATTACAACTAGATGATCTTTAAGGTGCCTTCCAACCCAAACCATTCTAGGACTCTATGATTTATTTTGTTTTGGTTTTTAAACTATAATTTTCCAAGTGACATCTCCTCCTTTAAAAAAGCTTATTCCTGCCCAAAAGCCTTTAAGAGAAACAGGTTCCAGCTCCCATTTTCTGCCATTATCTGTTAACCAGGTATCACTACAGCTTTCTCAGCACTGAGATTTCCTTCCACACTGTGCACAGCATTAGGAGACTTCCACGGATCAGACCAAGTCCACTTCTACACATCCTCCCTCTCCCACAGATCAGTGTCAACAGAGATGTGCAGTGATTTTTTTCAGTGCTCTAGAAGTCATTTCTTTCTCTTTCTTAAATGCTGCTTCCCTTCCCAGACACCTTTTGCCATGTTACCCTCTGCTTTTAAGTTATTATGCTTGCAGGACTGTTCTCCACAGAGAACTGTATCAAACTATTTCCTGAAGCCCAGCTAAATTATATGCATAACTTCCTTCCCTCAACCACTTGGAGGAAGTAGCAAAACAATCATATGTGTTTGACATTATTACTTATTTCTGAACCTATGCCAAACCTCCCTTTCTGTGGTATCACTGACATACTGCCACCAGAAGAATGGAAAGGGCTCTCTTCAATCCTAACACTGGTTAGCTTTCAGTGCTTTATTTCTCTAGGGGGGAAAAACTGGCTATCGCCAAACTGTCTCCTGCAAGGTCTCAGCTGGGAAGCACTTGGTTTGTTTTTCAAGCTTTTATTTTTTTAAAACTTCAAAGCAAAAAAGCAGCCATTTGACTTATTCAAATGAACAAAGATGTTGAAACAAGTTAAACAATGTTTCCAGATGCTTTTTTGTGAAATCAGATAACAAGCCCTTTGGATTTAACAGCATCAGTGTTGGAGTCTTCAATAGAAAACACATCCTTTGCTAAATCTGTTGGTTAAGAAATCAAGCTAATGAGTGAAAACAGCCTGCTCCACATCTGCAATTCATTATCCCTGTCTTTGAGTTGGTGTGTGCTCAGGGAAGTCATCCAGGTAGGTATGACATGTTATACTTAGCAAATATTACAAATGAGACAGTGGGAGAGAATGACACATTTTTCTATGGCAGTGAGAGCACGTTTTGGAGCTGTTCATGTGCTCTTCAAGGGAACGTGAACATGACCTCTCCAGTGGGGCTGTGTAAATAAACCAGAGCACACAAGTCCATATTTAAACACTACCTTTTTCCTATAACCTTAAATGTACATGTGCCACGTTCTTGTTTCCTTAAGATAAAGAACAGAGTTAAGAGCTGTCACCCTCAACGTCCCAACCCTTGCACTCCTAAATTTTTCCACCTTCCAGTGACAAGGAGGCAGCACTCGGCACGTACCAGCACGTGCTGCTTGTGCTCCAAGAGCAGCTGTGGCCAGCAGAACAGGACTATGCCCTCCATCCAAGGAGACAGAGGTACAGGTGCACCTCCCAAGGCTGCTCCCAAGAGCTCAGTATCCAAAGGTGCCAAAGACAGACAAAAAGGGTGTCAGCACAGCACTGCTGGTTAAAAAAAATCATCTTTTTAACCATTTTTGCCTTATTGGGATGCAACACAGTTGAAAAAAATCATCCTTTTAGCTATTTTTGTCAACTTGGGATGCAACACTACCTGCATGCAAGTCTGCCAAGGGCACTCAAGAGAAGAGAAAGCATGAAAAGGACTGCATTTAAAGAGCCTTTATTCCTTTATTTAATTAAAACCAACCTTTATTTCAAATGTTGCTTTCCACACTTGCACTGTTTGTTAATTCTCAGATGATCTTCTAGCTTTGCCCTAGAACTTGTAGCTTTGAAGAATCAGGCTACGGGATACTGGATGCTCAATTCCAGGACTGCAAAAAGGCTGATGAGGAGCCCTGGAAACTTTTTACTATTGTAACAGAGCAACACATTATGACAAAGTTTAAGAACCACTACATCCCTGCAGAGACACTCAGTGACAATACAAGTGTCACTGGATATGAGAGCAGGCACTGAAAGGAGAAATCTGTTTACAGTAAACACTTCTGCTTGGAAGTAGAAAACTAGAGTGACCTTCTGTTCTCAGAAGGATCGGCATTAAGATGACTAATGGGCCAAGGAGGATTGATTTATCGGGAAAGAATAAAAATTTAACTATATATAGAGCTTGGCTACTCAATTGGCAAGGGAATAGGTGTGGTGGGAAAGTAACCCTGGAGCTAATAATAGAATAAAGATGAGGAACACTCACAGTCACGATAAGCTAAGACAACAGGCACAAAAGCAGGGAAAGTGTACAGCACTGAAGGAAGAAAACCTCCCAGTCATTGGACAAAGCTAGTCCCAGCTTAACTCCACAGCTTAGAACCTGATGCCCTAAAACTTTTGGAATGAGAAGCTACAAAGTTGCACATCTGGGAATTGCACAAAGGTGAGATCAACCTACATTTGTGTTATGTCAAGGGAAATCCTTGAGTTTTACATTGCTAATCCTTATTGAAAGGGTTGAGCTTGGCTTGGTTGGTTGGTCACTGGGGTTTTTTTAACAGAAACACTGGGCCTAGAGCTACTGAACATTGTCCTTTTCAACTGTGAAACTTCAGAGGGCTCTTTTCTTTAGCTGTAGTTCTTTTCCTCTCTGTAGAATTGCATCAAGGGAAATGAGAAAAGACTAGTCTATTTTCCCAGCTATTTAACGAGGCTGGAGCCTTCCTACTACAAAACTTCACTCCTTTTCAGCTCGCTACAGGCAGCAACACACAATCTTATGCATTGCTTTTGCTGCCCCACTCTTTCTCCTGGCCTGTCTCCTCACTCAGCCAAAGAACCGTGAAACTTTTTGCAACATCACAAATGCCAGAATATCTCAACCCCTAACTACTCCCAGATATCTGTGCTTTTCTAGACAGCTTCAAATGATTCCAAGTTTTCCTATGTATCGCCAGATTCTCTTGGAAGAACATACTGCTCTTCATTTGATGGTACAGGACAGGTTTTTCAATGCATGCCAGAATTATCAAAGTTTTGCTAAGGAAAAAACCGACAAAATACAACACAACCCCCCCAAAAGTGCCTTTTGCAGCTTCTGTTTAGAAAGTCAAATCACATAAGTGACAATTCTGAGAGGTGCATTAGCAACAGAAGTAATTACAGGGGATGAATGGGCCAGTCGACTTGGACTTGATTTCTTTTCCTCATTGCAAAAATCAGGAGCTTTTACACTCAGAAGATCAATTGAACCCATGTTCAGATAAACCAGTTAGGTTATTACCTGTCATAGCAGTTGAAGTCATCCAACCAGCAGCCTTTCTTCACCAGCTCAATGGAGCCTGAGTTGTTTCTCCAGGAGGCATAGCAGTGGAGTCGCTTGTCCTTCTCCCCTTCGCAGCGCTCCACACCACTCTGGTTAGTCTTCTCCAACTCCCAGTTGGCATTGTAGTAAATGCATTCCCTTGTCTCGGCCTCCCCATGGCCTGGTCCTGAAGGAAAAATCAAACCCCAAGAACATTCAAGTAAAATCATAAACAGATCCTGGGAAACATATCTCCACATGGCTGTGCTTTAGGTGACTCATACATTTGATTCCCTGGGAGCTAAGCAGCTCATCAGTGTGAGCTTCAGCACAGGATGGAGATTGTTCTTATTCTCTGGTGGGGAACGGAGAGGTCAGGTTTGCCTAAACTCACAAAAGGAGCTCAGCCCAGCTGAGACCTCTCCAGACCTCCTCTGGCCAGTGCTTCAACCACAGGACCCTAAAAAGGGGATAGACAAGGCAACCCATACCCAATATTCTCTAACCACAGAAACCCTGTTTAGGAAAGACAACCTCCCAGGGTGCTACTTGATGCTTGCTAGGATGTCACACGATGGAGTTACTCTCCCTCTCCGCCAGTATTTTGAAAAACACGAGTTAAAAATACATAGTTTCTTAGATGGGTAGGATGTAACTAAGAACAGATAATAGTCATCCTGCAGAGGAGGGCCAGACCAGTGCACATTCCTCACTTAGATGGCTTATTTGGGTGAGTCTCCATATGATAAATGCTGTATTTTTAGCTGCAGTTAGCACAGCTCATAGTGCCACTCCACCCAAGTAAGACCACCTGCAAAAGGCAACTCTGTTCCCTGAACAACTCTGGCCACCCCAAATGGATGCTTGGTTACCACAAACAAAGGAGTCTCCAGAACCTGGGAGTGCTTCCTCCTTTGGAGCCTTGTACCAAAGGACCACAGAGTTCCTACTGCCCCCAGGGAAACTATTCCCCCATAGCCACCATGGGGCAGTACTGAAACACATTTGCAAACATATCCAATAAAAACAGAGTCAAGTAAGGTAACACTGATATCTGCAGGAGAACTGTTTTGTCCTGAACTTTAGAAATCTTCTCTTAATTTGGAAATATTCTGCTTTGTGGCATTTGGAGTATTAGTTTAAAACAAAAAGAAGAATGAAACAAACACACAGCCTGTAAGCAGACAAAACAGAAAAGGTACCATGAGCCTTGTACCATGAAGTTCATGATTCCATAAATCCGGAAATGCCCTGCAGCCATCTCTGTTTGGGATTACCCAACCTAAGGCAAGGTCAGACCTGCCCATTATTTTGATGGATTGCAATCATGGAAAATGTAGGTATCCCAATAAAATGTGTTGACAACTGGGTAGGAAACACAAATAGGTCCCACAGGATGGTGAAATTAAAGTGCTGTGCTCCCAGAATAGCCAGACCTCTGCAAACCACAGAGCTAAGTTTCTGGCTGGAAAATTTGGAGTCCTTTCATTACTGTCTTCTCCAAAGCTTTGTGCAACCTTTGATGTTGAGATTAAGGCAATTGGGACCATGTCTGGATGATCTAAATACAATCCAGCCTGTGATTCCCACTCAACATGGCAAACCAGCCACTTCTGAAAAGTCTCTACAAGGGTATGCAATTCAGTCTTCATAAGACACTGAGCAGCAAGTGGCTGACAGCCAGCAGAGAAAACACCCAGCCCAGGCATGGGCACCAGCTCCAGATACCTCCTGCAGCTTCATCAATTCCACACCTGAAACCCCATCCACTACTGATATAAGTACCCTCACAACACCCAGATGGAGAAGGGGGTATTACTTCCTAACTGAAGATCCAACACACCAAGTTAAATGACTTGTCCCAAACGAGCAAGGATGCTGGGGGGAAGCCTGACATTCCTTTCCACAGCCTGCAGCTCCTCAAGCTGTCCACTCTTCAAGCTGTTACCTGGAGGCAGGATTCACCTCCAATTGTGCAGTGCATGGAGAGCCCTTTAGGGATGGCACTTAAACCAGAGATTTCATTCAAGTTATTCAGTGTAGCCTAATCTGCTGTAGGGAATCAACCTCCTGCTGCCCACAGGCATCAAGCAAGGAGTGCAGATGACCTGTCATGAAGGAGAAGTGGAACTGCAAGCAGGTTGCAAGGAAAACCATAGTTTCTGCACACAACCTGCTCCTGATCCCAAAACCTGGACTTAGTGATGGGTAATTTGCATGGTACAGTGCAAATTCATCACACTAGGAAGATCTCTTTGCAGGCTGAAGAGGTGTTCAATCCTTCAATAACTCTTTTTTTGGGAAGAATGTTTAATCTGCATTGTGGGAGAGGCTGCAAGGGAGTAGGGGTATGAGAATGTCATAAAGCTGACTTCAAAACTGGAAATTATATTCAAAGCACACACGAACACAAGCTCAATTTCAACAGCACCTGCAGGTTTTATCAGCACTTGCAAAGCTCCATCAGAGTTTTTCTCTGACAAGTTGCTTACTATAATGAAAACAACCTACCAATATCCCTCAACACCGAACAGTGTCAATATTGACACTCCTTGTTAAAACCTTGATATTTGTTCTCTTGATACTTACACTATGCTTTGTTAGGGCAGATTAAGCATTTTTGCTAAATACTGGTTAAATAAGCAGGAACGTGAAGGAGCTTTGTTTTGGGCAGAGAGGGGAGGGCACTACCTTTTTCTTTATAAAGGCAAGAGTAAATATCTTCTCTTCACAGAATTACAGAATGGTTTGGGTGGGAAGAGACCTTTAAAGGTCATCTAATCTAACCTCCCTGCAATAAACAGGGACATCTTCAACTAGAACAGGTTGCTCAAACACCCATCCAACAAACCCCCAACCAAACTAGCTTTGAATGCTTCTAGGGATGGGGCAGCCACCACCTCTCCGGGCAGCCTGTGTCAGTGTTTCACCACCCTCACTGTAAAATGCACCTTCACTGTAATACATCACATGGCTTCCAGCTGACACCTGATAGCTAATATTCTCACCTTCTGCTCCACTTCTGGAAATACATTTTGTAATATCATTTCCATTATCCCAAACTAAATATCGCTTTTGATCAAGATGGAAATTTCCTCCCCCTCCCCAACTCCATCTCCCAGAGAGATGGAAGGTTTAATGAACCATTTTACTGGAGAAGCAGGTCCAAAATCTAATCCTGGCTCAGCCACCTCCATCTGTAACCTTGAGCAATACTGCATAGCCTGTTTCCTTCCCCTGTAACAATGGCCAATGCAATGCACGTAACTGCAGTGAGATTTGATATTTCCAGTGTGTTTTGAAAAGGGAATGCTGAAAACATGTGAAGTAGGAGCAGTATCAGCTCTGGGACCAGCAAACTGAGGCTGCTAAATCCTGTGCTGAGCCCAGGCTCCCTTCCCCCAAGACAGTTGTCTTTTCTGGAACAAGTTTCAGCTGAAGACTAAGAGCTGCTTGCAAACACGCAAACCCAACTCTGCAAACAGCAACCGTGCCAGGAAAAAGGCCTTTCCCAGTTTTCCCCCCGCTGTCAAAGTTTAGATGAGTTGAATAAAAGCATGCATAAAGTTTTGGATGACTAAATATATGTATGCTTTCTTTAAACAACTCCTAAGGATGCTTGCATTAAGAAGACACTTTAAAAACCTGCGTGTTTGTTACCTGCTTTCAGATCTTTTTAAAAGCCATTTGGTAGGATCCTCACCCTGCTGGGTGCTCAAGACTGC